GGGCCCAGACTTGCCCCTGGATGTGGGTGGCAGGAGCACCCTTTCCTGCCCACCCCCCAGCTGGGGGGAGGTGGCCACCAGGACCATGGCATGGCCCAGGGGGAGTGAGGGCATCTGTCCCATGGAGGATCCTTGGCAGAAGCTGCGGGGACCCTAGGGTAGATGAAGCAGGACCTCAGCTCTCAGGGCTCCCTTTCGGAAAGGAAAGAGTCCCAAGGCTGACATGACCACCAGCGAGCCCAGGGAAGGTGACATGGGTGACTTGCTGGCCACATCATCCCTCTCAGGAGGCCTTTATGAGGAGCAAATGCCATTTTGGGTGCCTCTTTCTAGGATTTGAGCAGACTCTTTTGCCCTTCGCCCCCTTTCCCCAAAACACACACTTCGTACCCAAATTCCTGCATTTCACCAGCACAGGGCTGAACTGAGTGGGGCCCTCCCGTCCAGACCCCACAAAGCTCCCACGGGGTCAGCGCTGTTCCCACCAGCCTGGCTCACGGCAAAAGGAGAGGGCTTGACTTTGGGTGCAAAAATTTTAAAGCCGTTCCCCCCCCACCCCAGCACACACACTCTCTTTTGTAAATAGCAGTAAATCCGGCTACGTTTGGGGCCTTGCTGATGCCAGGGAGCAGAAGCAGGAGTCCCTGCTGCGAGCAAGGCTTGTAATTGCTTCCCCAATCCCAGCTCGTGGCTCTCACAGCCCTCGCTCCAGGAGAAGCTCATCACAGCATAACAGGGTTGTGTCAGCCCCATTACTCAGTGCGTTCAGGCACTGAGGCCCTCAGAAACCCACTCACCTGATTACAGCCTTTGCATGCAAAAGTGTTGCACAGCTGGGGCCAAGCAATCACATCGCCTCTCCCACTGTGTCGCACCACTGCACAAGCCGGCCGGGGCCGGCAGAGCGGGGAATGTCCCCCGCCGGGCAGCAGCGCAGAGCCTTGCTGCGACACAGGAATGGTTTCTGGGAGCCGTAGCAAACCTCCGGGCTGGTGCTGGGAGCCAAAGATAGCAAAGCGGGGTGCACCTGGGGACTGTCGCTCTGACCCTTCCAGCAGCACTAGGGTTGCAGGGTCCCACTGACAGCCCTGAATTTGCCTCCTGTTGCCTGAGCCAGGAAGACCTGGAAAGTTTATTTTAACAATGAACCAGGGAGAGGATTTTTTTTGTGTGCATTCAGGCCTCTGTTGCTTTGCTTGCCTTTTGCAGCCCATCACATGTTACCTTGCAAACTTCCATGGAGCAGAACACACCCCTCGCAAACAGTGCCTAAATGGGGCCAAGGCAGAGCAAAGCAGCTTTCCCTAGACACCCATCATACTTTTCCATGGCAGGACTGGGCTTTCCAGCTCTCAGGAGCTATTAGAAACCCAGTGCTGGCTCTCTCGCTAGGGACCTTCCCTCTCCAGCGCCAAGCGCCTCAGCTCTCCTAGTGCTGGAGGACACAAGAGCAAAGCTAGACCATCCCTTGGGAAGAGGGCCGCAGCTGCCCCAGGGCCAGGTGGGACCCAGCCCTACTGCTGGTGGCTGCTCGCTTGCACAGGCACCCGGGGCAGACGCCTCTGGGGCCTGTGCCACGGGCTAGCTTGCAGGGCAGCTACTGCGCTGAGCTGGGACAGGGCTTCACTGCAGTGCTCTGCTCAGCTGCTGCAGGTGACACCTGGGCTTTGGGTGGCCTGGAAATGAGTGAGCCAATGCTATCTCATGAAACAAAATGAGCAGCCAAACAACTTGGAAGGGATTTTTAGGCTGATTGCTTAAAACTCTAATCCCATTAGAGTCTATTAATAAACTCAAAGGGTAATGAGTGATTAGTAGAAGGGGGCCTTTGTTAACCATCCAGTAGCTCACCCATTCAATTACAGCAAATGAAAGCTCCCAACAGACATTTGATGCTGAATGCCTTCTTACGGTACAATCAAGTAAGACTACACAAACACTCCCAGTTCCCGACACCTCCAAGGTTAGTGTCAGCATAAAACCACTAAACCCTCCTCTGTCATCCCTTTCATATTAAAATAAACATAAGGCTGCAGACAGGGCACAGCCTCACTGCTGTTCTTTATTAAATAGTATAGCTGGGTGTAAGAGGCACACAGACAAGTTGCTTTCTCTTAGGAATTACACAGAGCATGACACAGAAGAGGGGAAGCCAAGGAGCTGGGAAAGCCAGAGAAAGAAGGGTTCCTTTAGTGCAGTAATACACACACACACACGCACCCCATCCATAACATTTCTGTCTACCTGTCATGCAGAGTCAAAGGGTTTCTCCCTGTGATGCTGAGGGCTGACACCCCCAGAACAGGGTTCCAGATGCCCTGTTCCCGTTCCTGAACCCTCGTGCCCCGCATGGCAGTGCTGCGGCCAGCACCTCCACCCAGTGCCAGTCCCTGTATCCCTGACCGGCCTGGAGCAAAAATGAGGAAAAAGTGCCGGTGTACAGTCGGCCCCACTGATGGCGAGAGCCTTGGACAAGGAAGCACAACAGTACCCTGCGAGACTGCAAAGTGGAGCCCAGCACCACTGAGCAGGTAGGAGAGGAGAGTTGCTGTGGCAGCCCTCTCCTGCCCCAGAGCAGAGGACGTGTGAGTTTCGGAGGAGCACACCTCTGGATGGGGAGCATTTCAGCCCTGCCGTTGGGCTCCTCACACCCTGCTGGCGTGCTAGGGAGACATATTCCCTGGAGTCAGGGTGCAAATAGGGGACAAAAAGGAAGAGGCCCCTTTCACAGCTCCCAGGTGGATGCTCGGTGCTCTGACCACTTTTCTGCTACGCAGCCAGCAAGGCTAGTGACCACAGCAGGAGTTAGTGCACAGTGGCCATGCACTGGGTGGCCCAGCCCTGTGGCACAGCAGACACAAGAAGTGGTGCTGTGGGACAGCTGGGTGAGGGAGACATGGAGGGGCAAACAAGGATGCTGCTTGTAAATGATTACTTGCTCTGTATCCTTGCCCAAGGGCTAGTGACAGCTAGAAATACAGTTCCACCTGTCCCACAGCGACTCCCCGGTCAAGATGATCTCTTCTTCAAAGTGCCCAAGTTCACCTCCCATGAGAGTCATCAAATGCTGCTTCTCAGCCATCTGCCTTGCATTTCATCTGACAGATGCTGTTTCTTTACTCCTGGTCTACCATTGCATTGCTGCACACTACTCATCAGGTGCCTTGCTCCCCTCTGAAGTGGCCAAGTCTCCAGGATGGCTGGGAGTTATTACTAAAGGGTAAGAAAGCTCTGCAAATGCACATTATATGCAGCTGGGACACACTCCAGGTCCTGACAGCATCAGCAAAGAAATTCTAGCCAGGCTTCCTCTGAGCAACAGCTGGAATGGTTGCACCTTCATTTTTATTCTAGGACAGCTTTTCTTGTATTTACCTTACTCTCTTCTCCTTAATACAAAGCATTTCAAATAGGTGCCACTGCTGCTGCATTTCAGCTGGCTCTCAGGTTAAAATAAATGGCCCAGCCAATACATATCCTGCCAGCTAGCAGCCCAGACCTGTTAAAAGCAGCCTTACCTTGGGATTAACGTGTTCCCACTGCTCGAAACACACTGAGTTGTGACCAACCTTACACAAGCAAAGGCCTTGGATCCTATCTAGGAGAGAGGCAGGGCAGAAGAGAGCACCAGGATCAATCATCCCAGAGTGATGCTGGGAGAACGCCTGGGTCAAGAGTATGGGGGAAAAACATTGCAAGTTTAGGGGAGGGCGGCTGCACTGTGTGGCCCTTTCCCGCCACCTCCACTGGTCAAAATGGCTGCAGCCTAGCTGTCCCTATGCCTACAGGGAGCCAAATTAGTCATTGCCTACACAGCAAAACGAGGCATAACAGCGCCAGAGGAGTGAACTGTGACAGACCCAGCACATCTTGAGCATGGCAAATAAGAGCCCTGCAGCTGGGCACGCTCCAGTGTGGAGAAGCCCTAGTGGCCTACGTTAGCTGTCACTGAGCTAGAGAGGGTAGCAAAAGCAGGGAAGATAAGCCAGCTGAAAACTAGAATATAGACATTGGTGATGATGCTCCAGTTAGCCCGAGGAGAAGGTTGACATATCTGTGCTGTGTCACTCCTACAGTTTGCTGCAGAGAAATACCCGGTCAGCCATCAGCAAAGGCAGAGAAGAGGTCGTGTCAAACCAAGGCAAAATTACTGAGAGCGCCCTAAAGCACACATGGCTGGAAGAGGCAGAGACAGACTGGTGCACAGAGAAAGGCAGAGGGGTGGGGGGGGGAGAGAGGGGGAGAGGCAGAGAGAGAGAGAGTAGTTCCCCTGCACAGGGTTGCTGTGAGGTTAGGGATGGGAAAGGCTCGCAGGATCTAGTCCCCTTCTGGGAGAGCATCCCAGCCACGTTGCATGGCTTTCACCACGGCACCATAGAGTTTGGTCCAAGCCTCTTGCATGTCCGGGCAGAAGGCAGTACCAAGGCAGTTTTCCAGCATGTACAGCAAGGACTCGCCAACAGTCTGAAAACCAAACAAGGAAGCATCATTCTTAGCACCGCGGACCCACATTCAGCCCATTCTCTTGCTTCACCACCTTTTTGGACTTCTCCCATTGCAGGGCAGCTGCCTCCCTCTGCCCCACCAGCAGAGCCAGGCCACCCCCTTCTCTGGCTGTTCGCAAGAGCCCCGGCACAAGGCTCGCCCATGTTGTCCCCTTCCCCTGCCCTGTGCTAGCTCTCTCTCCACACCTTGGGTCAGTAGGGAGCGCAGGCTGGCTGGGAGCAAGGGTTAACACAGCACAGAAGCAAGGACGTATGCTTGTAATGCCAGGGGAGAGGAACATATCCATCCCCCGGGGCTCCCAGATGCAAGTAGTCAGCACAGCACAGTCCCTTGGCAGAGCAGCGGATCAGCAGAAGTGAATGATACCCTCATGCCAGGACACCGTATCAGACCCCAGCCTTGAGGCTCAGAGCCTGCCTCACCTCCTCTCGGGTCTCCCTGCAGGTCTCCTCCTCCCAGCCCTCATGAAGCAGCAAGCAAAGCCCATTGGACCTACCTGGGCGGGGGGGGGGGGGGGGACCTACATGGCTGTGAACAGGGCTAAGGGGAAATCGCCATCCCAGAGCGGACACTGCTCACCCTAAAGAGGACTAGTGGTATCAGGAAGGAGCTGTGAGTTGGTTAGAAACCTTTCCTTTAATCTGCCCTATCCCACTGCATTAGCCAGCATTTCTGCCCCTGCTTGGTGGCAGGAGAGAAGTAGGCAAAGATTTAAGATGAAGGCTACTTCTGTCTTACTGCCACGGAGGAAGCAGGGGGTGAGTGTGGGGCATTGGGTTATGTTTGGGAAAATGCATGGACTGAGGTTCAGACACCCCACACCAGTGCAGGTACAGAAACGGATATTCCCTTTTCCAGGCACTGTGAGGTTTGCCCGAAGTGTTTGATGATCTAGTGCCCAAAGCACAACCTGAGGCTGCGACCCTACACTGCAGGGGAGACTGCGATGTACCAAATGGTTGTCCTCCTCAAACAGGCGAAACGCCTCACTCCCCTCTGTCCTCTCTCCTGGCCTTACTGAGGGACAGCAGGCAGTGAAGAGGTCTTGAGGGTTTCCCCAGTCAAGCCAATGTCACCTCACAGGTATGGGCAGCTTAGGGGCTGTGCTGACCCACGAGCTTTCTCACCAACCAGCTGAAGCCAGTCAGTGAGCACTGAGGGGTTGGGGCAGCTGCAGGTGCTCTCCTGGTGGCAGGGCAGGATGGTGCCAGAGGCAGGGCAGCACAAACACAGCAGCAGAGGCAGCAGGGTGAGGGAGGGTACCTCACCGAGAAAGACTCGACTTTCACACCAACTGCCTGATGCTTCTTGCCAAGGTTGCAGAGATATTCTTCCAGGCAGGGTAAGTTCTCCAAGTGGTTCACAGCAGCATCAATCACCAACATCACCTGCAGGATCACAGCCAGGCAGAATGGCATTAATGGCAAGGCTCTGCTGCCCACCCAGAGGAACATGCTGACCCCACCGTTTCACCCTTCTCAGCCTAATGGTCACCATCACCTCCCAGCACTGCAAATGCCTTTGCTTTGCTCTGCTCTGTTACGATCTGCTGGCCAGAATACCAGCACATCTAATGGGAAACTGTCCTCTTGCAAGGCAGGATGTGTCATAACTTCCCCCTTGCTAGAAACATCCCCTCCTCCTTCCAGCAAAGGCAAGCCAAGGGAGCCCTTTCTCCCCCTCCTGATTCTGCTAACCCTTTAGCTTTCAGAGCTGGGCCCAGCTTGGGGCATGCTGACTGCAGCACGCTCCACAGCCTCTCAAGGGTACCGCCAGAGGTGCTACAGCAAACAGTTCTGGTTACTCACTGGGGCTCTTATTGTCCCAAAGGAGGGTAAATAGCCTCCCTAGTAGAGTAGCTAATTGGCTAAGACTTAACGCTGGTGGAGTCATTACAGCTTTTATGATCCCAGGACAACTGCTGGGCAGTCCAGGACAGATTCCCCCTGAGAGATGGAGAGAGGATGCTGTGAACACTGGTCAATCATAGGGCAACTAGAAGTTGCCAAGACACTGCAATTGCGAGTAAGGCAATTGCAATTCTAAGATCAACTGAGGCATTTTGAGAAGATGGGTTGGGTAGTACATCCAAGAGACCTTGTCCGGAAAAGCGGGTACCACTGTGGTTTCCCAGGAGCATGACGAGCCAAATGGGAACAGGGTGGAGAAGAGTTAATGAGGGATGAAGGGAAAAGAGAGGATCCGTTTAAGAGAAGAGATTAAAGCCGGTGGCATGGTTAGCCTGACAAAGCCAAGGGGCAATAGAATTGTGCTCTATAATTTCAACAGGGAAATTATCTCCAACAAGAGCAAAAAGCAATTCAGCTCAAGGCAACAATGGCAGAAGTAAAAATGGACCTAACTTGGCTGATAAACAGAGGCTGGAAAATAGTAAAGAGCTTGTAGCTATCAGAGGAGAACAGTACTGAAACAGCCTCTTACAAGGAATAAAGACAGGCAGGGCACTGAACTGGCTTAAAGATGAAGCGTATGGAGGCATTTCCATGCCAAGGCTGTGCTCTGCCCCAATGTGGCTACATTTCAGGACTCAGCAAAGGGGTTCTGCTGCACTGGGTATAATTCTTTCTGTATACGAGCTCCTGCAAGATCAGCATTGCTCCTCTCTCCTTGTTTCAGGGGGAGGCAAATGCATATCACAGTACTGCCTCAGCAGCCAGACAAGAGGTCCTGTGGGCCCTCTGACTCTGCAGCTGCACCAAGAGCCCCTCCAGAAGCAGTGGCTCCACAGGAGCCTTGCCCACTGCCCAACTCTGTGTAACCTCCTGCTCAGCGTGTGGCCAAACAGAGGACTTCAGTCCTCCTCTTTGCAGGAGTGAGCTCACACATGAACACGTGGTAGAAGAAGAAAGTAGCTTCCAGTGTCCACAAGAGGGCATGGAGGGGTCAGCGTGGTGCTCTTATCCAGCACAACCCACATCCTCATTCCCTCCCCACTGTTTTTAGGCACTTTGTCCTGGCACTAACACCTCCTGCTACTGCAAGAAATTTCCTGCAGTTGCCGTTGCAGGACAAGACTTCCCATGTGTTCCCCAGAGTCAGATATCCAATAGCCCAGAATCATTGCCTGAAGAGCTTCCTCCTTCATGGGGGGTCTGTGCTCCAGCCATGCCATGGCCCCCTCTCACCTTCCTAATGTGATCCAGGAACTCAGGGGCAGAGAGGCACTCCTGAGGGCTGGCAAACTGCTTGCAGTTGTACTGGAAAAGGGGCAACAGGTCAGGGTCCAGATCAAACAACCTGCAACAGTGAGAGAGAAATCCCCATCTTCTCACTTCCTCAACTTTCTTTTCAGAATCCCCCTCACCCAGGGCACAACCCTGTCACCAACATGCCCACAGCCCTCCTCTGCCTCCCTTTTCACTAGCTGATCCTTCTCCACCTGGGAAGGACACAGAAGTTCTGAAGAGTCTTAGCTTGGGGCAATCCAGGTTATCAATAGTCAAAAAAGTCTCAATTTTGGGCATGGTGTTCTCTGATGCATTTATGGCACCTGAGGATCAGTCCTAGACCACTGGAGTTCTTCCCAGCCTGGCCCTGCTCCTCAAAATCCTGTTTGTCACCTTGACTCTTCCTATTCACACTTCATGATCCCCTTGAGTCCCAAGGCTGTCAAATCTGGGGAAGGCCTGCAAGATTTCCAATTTCAGCAAGGCAGGATGTGCAACCCCAGCTAACATCCCACTCTCCCACAGCATTACCAGCTCTCAGTTTATTTCCTCTTGATCTGCTCTGCCAGCATATGCTGTGCACATATGGGTCTCAGTAGGAGCTACCCAGGCAGATCGAATGGGCTGGTGTCATCCTTGGAGGCCATGGGAAATTCAAACAAGATAATCTGTCTCTTTTCTCCCTCATTTTCTGCACATTAAACTACCACGTCCCTCGCTCCTCTGCCAAAACTTTCAAACATTGCTCTCATTGGTCATAGTTTTGCTGTGCAAGGTTTGCCTCGTGTCTGCAATGCCCCTTTCCAGGAGCTGCTCTTAGACTGTGCTTTTTAAATGACTTTTCATGGATTTTTCATTTTCTCTTCCCATAATTGAGACATTAATCTGCTTAGGGGAGAGAAGGAGTTGGGTTTCAGATGTTGCCCCTGGCACACCACTTCCTCTGCTCTAGGACTGACTCTCTCCCCGGTGGCCAGGTCTCTGCCTGGATGTGGAGACTGCCATGTCACAGACAATTAAGAAGTCGCTCTGATAAAGCCCACAGAGTTGAGCAGACATGCAGCTCTTCAAACAGAAATACCTTCCCCGGTGACAACGAGGGGGATCAATGCACAGAAAAGCACAAAACCTGCCTGCTGGCTCCTTCCTTCGCTCTCCATCTTCTCCATTTCCCCATAACAAAGTTCTGAAGTGCACGGGGCTGGAGGGCAAGGGGCCGAGAAGCGCCGCAGAGCAGAGGACCTTCCCCACGCCCACAGCAGCTGAAGCTAAACGTTAGAGGGGCTTCATCACTGCGCTTCCCCCTCCTGACTGCAAACGCCAACCAGAGGGACAGCGGACCGCGTAACAGAGCCAGTAGGGAGCCATTACCAAGCAAAGGGAGATGTTTCCAAGAAGCAGAGCCCGTCCGCCCCCCTGCCACCCGCCGG